TAACTTTTTAGGATGAAAATACCCCAATATATTTAAGATAATTTCTCTCTTTTAACCTTGAAATTTGAAATTTTAAAGAGAGAAACTATCTCAAATTTTAGTGAGAGAAAACATCTCAAATGTTTTAGGGAGAGAAACTATTATCTAAAAGGAACATAAATACATAAATTGAAATTGAGATTATTTCTCTCTAATACTTGAAATTTGATATAGTTTCTCTCTCTAAAAATTTGAAATTTAAAATAGTTTCTCTCTTTAAAAATTTGAAATTTGATATAGTTTATCTTTCTAAAAATTTAAATTTTGAGATAATTTCTCCTTAAAATCAAGTTTTAAAAAAACTACTTAAAAAAAAACTCTCTTAAATACATGGGGGTATTTTGTCCAAAAAGCTACTTCTTAAGTAGGATGGGTGGACACAAGGATAAAAGGTATTGAGATTAGTGATATGGTTTGAAAAGTATTGCAGTAGAATATGCTTACAAAGATTGGCCAAAAGGGGGTAATCTATAATTTCCCCTAAATTTTTTATAGTTAATATTAAATGGAATGATTTATGCATAGATCTTAAAATTTTAGATAAAATACGAAATGTTCAACTTATACGTGGTAATTACAAAGAAGGTCAGTCAACCATTTACTTTTTAATTTTTCAAAATTGTCCTTCGGTCAATCCGATTTTTATTTTTATTTTTAAAAAAATCGTTAGTTGGGCAGTGCCTTAAAGCTTGAGGCACTGCCATACTAAGAAAACAACTAAAAAAAATAATAATCAAAATTCAGGTTGACAAAAGAGCAATTTTGTAAAAAATACGAGTTGACCGATCATCTTTGTAATTTCCACCTAAAACGGAGCATTTTGTATTTTACAATATAAACTGAATATATTATACAAACTAAATTATCTGTCATGAATCTTTATTACAAAATTAAAATTAGATTTGTGATATTTCCTTTTTTGGTAAACTGCAAAATATCAAAGAATTTGATAACCTAATCCTTTGTTTTTGGACTCGGCTAAAGATTCTCGGACTCCACCGAGTTACTCGACCACTGCCTATGGGGCAGGCCGAGTACTATACCAATTATTATATATATTATGTATCCACAGTCATAATTACAGGGGGTGTAATTGACTTATTGCTATTAGGCATGCCTCTGAATTC